ACAGTGAACTGTCCCCCCATTTAAAAAGTTTGAGGACCCCTGCTCATGCGTATGGTCTGGGAGTTCTGTGTGGCCATTACCGCAAGTTCTCAAATCCATCAGAGGAGTGTCTGATGGGTCTGCTGCTCGTCAACAGTTTTCAGCGGCTAATTCCTATTCCTTCTTTGTAGTTTGCTCTTCCTCTCGAGGCTCTGCTGAAACCTGCTCCCCTGGCATGATCCTGCTGGTATTTGAAATTCTGGTGACGTATCTTCCAGCATCCTAGCAACATGCACGTCACTACAGTACAATCAACTGATGGGCAATTTGACTGCTCCTTAGAAGCAAGGATGGCTAGCCTTTGTCTCATATACTTTGGGTGCATTATCAAGAGAGACCAGCCCCTGGAAAAGGACTTGGCAAAGTAATGGGGCAGTAAAGAGAGGAAGATCCTTGCGATGGACTGGCAAGGGGCTGCCACACTGGACTCAAGCATAAGAACAATCGTGAGGCTGGGGCAAGTCATGTTTCATCCGTTGGAACCAGTTCGACGGCACCTAACAAGAACCAGAGAATTAGAGAGTGCTGTGGGGAGGGCAGTTGGTGTTAGAAATAGTGAACAGGCTGCAAAGTGCAGGCATGCTTTATCAGCCGTGGGCTGGTTATTTGCGTTCCTCCTCCTGAAGCCAGACAGGCTCTGATGGCACCACCACCAGTCCAGGGAGACTGGTAAGCACACTCTTTCCAGAGGTCATAGCTATTGGTCTTGAAGATGACACTGGAGGTGGCCTTGAGCTACCAAGGTGAAGTGCAGCCCTTGGTACATAAAACATGCCTTGTTTTTCATTTGTGCTCGGAAAATAAGGTTTTCCGGACCAGGAGCGTGTAGTTCCATCCATTTGCATTTCAGTGGCTGGTGGTTTTTTAAATAAATAAATGACTGTGGCATATTTCTGTTCCTTCCTGGTGGTGCTATGGTATGAGCATTGGGCTGCTACCCACAAGGTCAGTGGTTCAAAACCCACCAGCCACTCCTAGAGAGGAAGATGAGGCTGTCTGCTCTCAAAGATTTATAGTCGGAAGCCTTACTTGGAACCACTCTGGTTGGAATTGACCCGATGGCTATTGAACTTGGAGTTTTAAGTTTTTTGGGTTTTGGTTTTTTTTCCCCCAAGAGGTTTTTGGGTTGCATCAGGAAGGAGACTGCCAAGTGAGCGTAATGCCGAGATGGAAAGACCAAGCTAAGAACAGGAAAATTAGAATAGCTGGTGCCAAGGGAGACCGGGGCACCTCCGCTTTGGGTTTGGGTGGGCCAGGAAAGGTCCTAAGGAAAAGATGAGTGAAGAACTCAACGGCCCGGAGAGTCCACTGAAACAGAACAAGAGTCAGTTCTGGTTGAGTTGGATCTAGAAATTGAGTTCATTAACAGGGATGTTTGGGTTCACACCATTAGTGCACACCCTCTGGGAGTGTGACCTTCAAGAAGCCTTGGATGCTGTTCCCCCCTTGTCCTTTCCCTCCATTTACACTCCCTGATCCTTGTTAGGATTCCTCTGGATTCTCTAAGTACACATGGCATGCTGTATTGTGTTCTAAAGTAGGGATGTGGTCAAGTATCTTTGGTGTGCTCCTGAGTGCAAGACAGTGTCACCCTGCCCACGAGCCCATGCCACACATGGAGTTATCAAACATTCAGATACCTCAGTTGTGGTGACCAAAGGCTGTTGATGAGGCAGATCCAACAGGCTATTAAGTCAGGAGGCACTTTACACAAGTGTATTTTCAAATAGAAGAATAGCAACCGTAAACAATTCACTCACTAAATGTAACAGTTTGTCTTCATGTGTTGAAATCCTAAGCCCTGGGCCTGAAAATAAGGGTAAGCTTGGACTATTAACTGCAAGGTCCCTGGTTCACACCCGTCAGTCAATCCTTGGGAGAAAGATGAGGCTGCCTGTTCCTGTAAAGATTTACAAAGCCTCAAAAGACTAGAACTCAAACTCACTGCTATTGAGGTGATTCTGACTCATAACGATCCTATAAGATAGGGTAGAACTGTCCCTATGAATTTCTGACACTGTATCTCTTTACGGGAGTAGAAAGCCTTATCTTTCTGGCTCAGAGTGGCTGGTGGTCTTAAACTGCTGACCTCATGGTTAGTAACCCAACTCTTAATCATCAACAGGGCTTCCTTTACAAAGCCTAGGAAACCTATATAGGGTCACTATGAGTCCAAATCACCTTGTTGGCAGTTGGCCTTGTTTTTTGGGGGGGATTGTACCTGTAAATAGGACCCTAAGTGGAAATAGGGGGTTTCTTTTGTTATGCTGTATCAACTTGAAGGGAGGTAGGCTTTGTTATGTTTAGGAGATCACACCAGAGTAGGGCAGGTCCTTAACCTAATGACCACTGAGCTAGAAAAAAGAGCATGACAGATACAGAGCCACACTCAGGGATGATGTCAAACAAAGACAGGCCAAAGCAGTGATGTCTGCTAGGAGAAACTGGAATGGAAGGGCTTCCCTTATAGAACAGTCTCTCCAGGAAACCATGCCTTGAATTCAGACGTGTAGCATCCTGAACGTCAAGAAAAACATTTCAGATTTTTAGAGCCAACCCCTAGCGGTATTTTGTTGGTGGTGGTCAAGCTGCAGTCGGTAACTAAGACAAGATTCTCTTGGCTTGGCGATCGATATATCAGGACCAAATCCACCGCCATGGAGTCCACTTGGCTCAGAGCCACCCCATCACAACCTCTATAGATAATGACAGCTTCATCTCCTCCACTCACATCCTTACATGACTTGATCTCTGTGGCAGTCACCTCATCTGGTGTCAATTTAAGGATTAAGAGTGTAGGGGTGGAGTCAAGGCTGTCAATCTGGAGATAGCCAGATGACGCTTCTGTGGGCGTGGCCTTCTCCTGAGAATTCTAGGAAATCTGGCACTTCCTCCTTGGAGGTGGAAGACACCTCTCTCTCTCTCTCTGCTACACCCTGGGAGACATTGCAGAAGACAAGCCACATGGACGCAATCAGACCTCAGAATCTGGAGGAGCCACAGAGAGACCCCTGCCAGCGCTGAGGTGTTTCTGATGACACTGGATCCAAAGACTTTCTATCCACTGGCTGTGATCTTCTGCATTTGGCGTCACTGTACGTGTTTCATGAGTCTGATGAGGGCTTTATAGATTGGTATCAGACCTATGGGCTAATATTGGACTTACGGACTTGGTCTGGACTGGGCTGGGATGTTTCCTCAATGTTCAATTGCTCTTGTATATAAATCTCTTTCTTATACACATCTGTGTCCATGGATTTGTTTCCCTAATCTGCCCAGACTAACACAATCTCCTTCACCTCATAGACCGCTGTAGGCTTTTTGTAAATACATTTTATCTGATTAAGAAAAATCTCTCCTACTGCTCCTTTTCCAGGAGCTGCATCATGAATGGGCACTGCCTTTTACCTAGGGCTCTGTCTGCCCTTCTGAAGATGACCACATGGCTGGTCCCGTTTCCTGCTGTAAAGGTTACGCACTCCGATGCATTCATTTAAAGTCTACAACTACCAAGCTTCCTGCCCCATACACCGAACTGTGCAGAAAATATGGAGGTGAATAAAACCATAGTCCTGGCCAGAAAGGAGTCGATGGCACGGTATGATAAGCGAAAAATGTGCAAAGAACAAATATTTCAGACAGACGCTAAACCCACACCAGAAACACAGAAGGCAGGGCAAGGATTCCACTGAAACCCGTCCAGCATCATAACAATAGACAAGTCTTCATGGAGGCCTGGCAGAAGCTGCACTTCAGGAGTATGAGCCAGAAATCCAGCCAGGTCTTCTACGTGAAAAATGAGAATTCAACTGCTGAACCACCACTGCCTGCCATGAGTCATGAACTGGAAAAAAACACCCCTCAATTCCATTGCCATCCAGTCACCTTCAGCTCAGGGTGAGCCCGTGTGTTAGGACTGGAGCTGCATCACAGGCGTAGATCGCCAGGCCAGCAAAGACGAGACAAGAGAAAGGTAGCACAAGGATTTAGGATGAGCTGTGTTAAGCTGAAGAGCCTTGGGGTGGTCGTGGTGACACATTGAACTAGCTTGTGGTGAGCAGTTCAGAACCACCAGCCACTCCAGAGGGGAACGGTGAGGCTTTCTTCTCCCATAAGGAGTTACCGTCTGGTGAAGCCACAGGGGCAGTGCTACCCTGTCCTCCAGGGTGGCCATGATGCAGAGTTGATGTCAGCGAGGTTGGCCTTTTGTTCTGGGTGTTAAGCTGAGCGCACATAAAAGCTAGAATCGGAGGGCGGTTCTGAAGACCTATTTATATAATATTTTAATATAGAATGTAAGTGGATTGGCCAGTATACTGGAAATGATGTTCTGATTAGTAGAAGCAGTATAATTGTAGAAGTAGGGTGAAGCAACCCATACTGGCAATGAATTGAAGTATCAATGGTAACAGAGCAAATTGTTATGCTCGCTGTTGTTCTTGGCTGCCATCAAGTGGCCTGACCTTCACAGTCACCAGAATGACTCGCCAGTACGCTCTCAGTCCATGTTGGGACTGCTCTGTGACCCTCTGTGTCGTCTTATTCCTCCAGCTCCAATACTGGAGTCTAGAATGCTTTGTAATACACAAAAGTCTATGCAACCAAGGTTGGTGTACATGACCTTGAACCAAAGGATCCCCCAGGTCTGTTTTCATTTTTCAATCAGCCCAAGTTTTCCTATCAGCCCCGAGCCGAGTCTCGGGAATAAAGCTCCATCCAACATTGGCAAAGGCAGTAGAAAAACGATGAAACAGAAAGAGCAGAAGGGAAAGCAAAAGGGAGTGCCAACGAGGAAATTTAATCAATGCTTTTGCGTCCGTTTGCTGTTACAACATTCAAGCACGTAAATTAGAAAGCATTTGTCATAGAGCTGAGGACTTTATGATGGACAGGTTCAACTATAATTTGGGGGAAATTTCATGATTTAAAGATTACTTTCCCATGCTCCAAATGGTACATACCTGCAAATCATTTTCTTTTTCCTTTGATTTAATCCAAGTTTTGCCTTGGGTTTGTGGATCTATCAGGAGTGGGTACCTGGTGGCCTTTGTCACAATAATGCCATTCTGAATCGAGAGGTCATCTCCTGGTAATCCCTGCAGCCCCCACTCACCAATCTGAAGGACAGAAAATGGATACATTCATTCAATGGAGAACAAGAAGGCCTTCATTAGAAATGCAAAGTATGACCATTTAAACTAATTGGACACATGGTACCTGGTACTTAGGGGAAAAGCAAACAAAGATGCAAATGTGAGCCGAGTAGCAATAACTTTAAAAAATGAAGTTAAGAGCTAATGACCCCTCTCCTTAAGAACCCAAGACTACAGTCAGCCCTTTGCAGGGTATTCTCATACAGGCAGAAAGCTTGTAAAGTGATTGCACTGGTGGGACCGGGAGGGTGCAGGGCTCCAGCTGGGCAGGATTTAGTAGAGAAAGGAATATGCTGAGATGTCGGAGAACAAGACCCGCAACCTGCCTTCCTGCCCCTATGAGTCTGCTTATATGGAATGTGTTAGTCTCGGTACTTTAGAGAAACAAATCCACAAAGTCCTCCCCTCCCTCTCACAAAACACACCAATGATGCCGACTGCAGGAGGAAAGCCGAGTCAGTGACTGTGTAAGCATCTCAGCACTGGCAGGGGTCTCCACACGGCTGCTCCAGCACCCAGGGCTGCATCAGAAGAGGTCCATGTGGCTTCTCCTCAAGGATGTCTTGCAGAAAGTGAGCCTTGCCAGCTGAAACAGGGACCTGGCTAAGGCAGCTGCAGCCTGGTCCAACCATCAGAAATCAAGAGACCCGAGAACTAGAAAGGTGAGGCTCACCAGGCCATTTATCACTCTGCCCTTCAATTAACTCCACCTGTGTTTGTCGGCCAGGTTGGCACAATAACTACCTCGTGGAGTGTGGGTGATTGCAGAGCTAAAGACATAGAAATTAGATTACATGAGATACCATATAGGAAGAAGCGAATCAATGAAAATTTTGAGACCATTTCCTTCTCCAAATCAATGGTGATTATCAGCCTCCTTTCACATGGTCAATAAAATCACGTGAGAGCCAAAAAGCCAATCGGCCCTCACCTGTGTTAGATTCTCCTGGACCTCCGAAGGTCATCATGAAAAATGGACACCCAGGGTTGGCTTTGCTTCACCAGGGCCCAGTGTGTGGCCCACCCAAAACCCACTCCCTGTCTAAGGGACAGACACAACAGTGTTTGGATTGGAAAGAACTGTTTTTGTTTGTTGTTTGTTTTTTACTTTTTAAGTACCAATAACATGAAATTAATAGCTTGGCATCCCTACAGAAACAGCATCCGGGGAAGCATATTTACAAATCAGGCAGGCAGCTCATGAATACCAATGGCCCGGAAAGCGTTTATTTCCACCCGAGCCCTGTAAGAGATCCTGAAAACTGAGGGTGCCATCCAACGCCGGCCAGGGAAGGTTAGAGGAGTGAACAGTGTGCGGTGATACCAGCACCTGGCATTGTATTACGGGCACTAGAACAGATGGTTCACGGTCAGAAGCAGGCGACTCTCCCCACATCTGATCAAGACAATGCATCCACTCGCCTAAAATGTTCGAAAGACAGCATCACTTAATAGGCTTGGTCTAGTTAATGGCCAAACCAGAAAACAAACAAACAAGCTCATTGCCATCCAACACACAGTGACCCCATGGGACGTCCCCGTGGAACGGTCCCTGTGGGTTTCCAAGATTGTAACTCTTTATGGGAGTGGAAAGCCCCACCTGTCTCCCCCTACTTAATCACAGGGCTATAAAATGAGTTCGGTGGCTGTAAGCCACGTACCCTTTCAGTTCCCAGCAGTGTGATGAGCTGTCTTTTTAAAGTAAGAGGAACTGGAACACCACCAGGAAAAGTGTCCATTTTTCTTTTTTTTTTAAATCAAACATTTTTGAAAACAACCTTCTCAACTAAATGAAAACAAAGACAGCATCATTTGCTTTCTTATTAGTAAGGAATACAATTGAGATGGACATTCAAATCACGTTAAGGCGAAGACTTACCGTGGGAGGATCCACCAGCATTGAAATGATATTCAGGTTTTCAGTGAAAGGAATTCTCCGTACTCTCAGCTCGGTCTCCCATAGATCTTTCAGCAAGAGATTCCTGAAGATCTGATTGAAAGGACCGAGGTAGGAAAGGAATCCCGTACATAGCAGAATATCACCAACGAGTCTGGTAAGAAAACACACACACACAGTCACATACAAGCCCCATGACCAAAGTGAGTCACTGGACGCACGTTGGAAGCTATTCCCTTGGGTAGTTTGAATGTCCGTCGTGCGATTTTGTTAGTAGGCGAAGCCCTCGTTTGCTCCCGATAGATCCTTTTAAGGACCCTGCTACACAGAAAGATGAAGCTGTCTGCTCCCAGAAGGACTGACTGCCTTTGAAATCGAATGGGCTTGCTTTCCCCTGACCTAGGAGTCAAGACTCACTAAACTGCAGTGAGCTTCTTTTTATAGGGAGCTCTGTAGTCTTGGAAAACCAAAGGGGCAGTTTGTGTCCTATCGGGTCTCTGTACATTCAGATAGACTCCAAGGCAGTGAAACGGCTGGGTTTTGATATGTTGTAACCAGTCATGAAAAAGAAAAATGGAATTCACAATCTCAAAAGAAGGCAGGTAGTGGGAACCTCTGAGGTGGTCAGAGCAAGGACAGAGGCTCTCCCCCAGAGCTGATGGCTTCTGAGTCTTGACTTCTAGTAGAAGGGGTCTCCTTCCCATCCATGCCCTCCCTAGCCCTGCTCAAAGTTTATATTGGGGTGTAAAAGTCTATAGCATAAGTTTATTTGTTTTAAAAACTAAGAAGAGTCTAACTAAGAGTCTTAATTAGCTTATTAACCACAGTTAAACAAAGTCCCAAGAAGATTGAATACATCTGGCTTTGTCCATTCTCCAAGGAGCCCTAGGCCAATGGAAAGGTCAGTGGTTTGAACTCACCAACCACTCCTCAGGAGCAAGATGAATCTGTCTGCTTCCACCAAAATGTACAGCCTCGGAACCCCCTGGGGCGCAGTTCTAGCTTCATTATGAGTTGAAATCAAACTGTAGGCCATGGGTTGGGTTGGGTTGGGTTGAGTTGGGTTGGTTGGATTAGGTTGATTGGGGTGACCATTCCCCTACTCTTCTCTTTCCCGCTCACCTCAAGTTTTTTGAGGACACCAACAGGCACCAGCACCAGATACTCATATTCAGAAGGAAACATTGACCTATACTACCAAAAGTCACAGAAGTGAGGAAATTCCGAGAGCTGGAACAAGTACTTAAGATGCTCGTGGACAAGCAAAATGGCACCAGAAGCTACTTCATATTGAATGCCCACATTGCTGAGCCCAAACTAAGATTTGCAAATGTGGCAGAACATTTCATTCCCTCTGTGTTTCCTGAGAGCGAGTGATTTAAGCTATTAACTCTTTCTTGGTGTCAGCACTTCCTTGGATGATGGGATTCAGAGATGGGTATGTGGACATGCTGGAGAAAAGCACTTCATCATAGAAATGAATATTTTGCTCCCTAAAGTCACAAAGAGGTGGCCTTGGAGAAAAGACTAACTAAGAAGGGGGACTAGCATAATGAAGACTAAAATTGGTACCTATTAATCTGAGCTTTGAACTCTTTACTTTGTTGAGTCCATCGGACTTTCTCACCGCTCAGTCCGTCAATGAGAGCAGATGCCGCCTGCATCTTCTTCCGGCACATGTCGGCATCATTGAGCAGATCCTACGATCAAAAAGGGAGAGAGAGTTTCTCAAAGCACTTCCTAGAATGCTTCATCGAGCATCTATTATGCTCACGCATTCGAACCACACAAAGGAGGGTCCGAATTTTCAAAATAAATATAACTTGAAAGTCCAGTGGCCCAACCTTTATGTATTAGATTCTGATGAGTCATGAACTTACATCGTGACATAGTTCCTTGGCCTTACAAACTTTCAAGAAAAGCAACGTGGTATGAGATCACTAACATAATGTTAACTAAAGTAGTGCTTCTTTGATTCTTTCCAAAAGGGAATCTAAATTTTTCAAATTCATCATTTTCAAGTCTTGGATTCCCCAATAATTCTGAGCTCTCTGTGGTCTGCACAATAATTTTCTGTCCTGAAGAAAACCTCACAGCCAGTGGAATGGGGCTGTCAGTTTGCACCAGCTCACAGGAGCTGATTTTTACTTTACCAGAAAGCATGTGAGCTGCTTGGTAAACACAACTATTATTAAATATATATATAAACTTACAGTTAAGCAAATTGTGCTTTTAAGCGGTAAGAAAAATGTAAAATTTTGTTAAGCACTTACTATATTCTACTATGGTCTATGCTCTTGAGAAAGCTAGCAGTACCTGTGCTCTATCTATGTAGTTACCTATAAATGTTACTGCCTATCTTTTTCAAATATAAATTTTATTTATCTTCTTCCTCCTTTCTCCCTTCCCCTCCCCTCTCACCTCAGCTTCTCTAGAACCCAAAGTATAATAGTACTCAGGTAGATTTTTTTCCCCATCATAAACATTTGCCTAGTTTCTCAATACAACAACACATGCACTTCTGTAAAACTTAATTGCGTCACTCTGGGGATTTTAAAGATTCAATCTCACCATTTTCTCATTCATTGCCGCATCAAATTTTGCTTGTACTTTATCCAACTCGGCTTGCTTCTCATCCAGCAGTGACTGCGCCTTACCTAATTCAGCATTGGCAACTGACAAACGGCCCTCCTGCTTTGCCAGGTTAGCCTTGGGAGGAGGGACAGGTGGTTAGGACAGAATTGGATTGCCTCTACAGAACATTCCTGTGATTTGAAATGGCAAACAGTAATGGCAAACAGTAGCACAATTGCATCATTTTTTTCCCTAGATGATACTTTGGAAGAGATCTCATTGTTTTCAGCTATGGGAGCAGCAGGTCTTTGAGATATCCCACTACCTCCCCCTCCCCCCACCCCATTTAATGACTCATGTATTACATATTCAATATGGAAAAGAACAGCAAATTTATGAAGGAGAAAAATGACTCACAATGCTGCCCAGAGATCGCCTGTGAATATTTTCTTTAGAGTTGAGGGGCATTTTTATTTCGAATTTCATATTTTGGTGCATTTTACCACACACTTAAAATGTCTTAATGGGCATGAGTTTTATGACTTCTTAATATTCTGTGTCTTGGACCTGATCATGATTTACTTAACTTTCTACCTACTTTTGGACATTTATTTCTTCCTTCTGCCAACATTTTTAATTATCATAAATGATGCTGTGATAAATCCTACCCGGCATGTGGCATTTGTTTGGGTATGTGTGCGGGTTTACCACTCGATACCTGGGCTTACAAGGTCAAGATTCTTGGAAATAAAATACGTAACTACAACAGAAGTGTGCATCTCCTTCTCAGCCACTACAACAAGGTATGACCTGTTTCTTAGAAGTTTAAAACAACGGATCCATAATCTAGGCTCAGAGTCTTGGGGATAGTTCTTTGATAGCATTCTCATTTTCTTTCACAGTATTTGACTGATTCCAATTTAGTCCCTTTCCCCCAAAAAAGTCTTATGTCATTTAGATTTCCTAATGTGCTTACAAGCATTTATACACATTTTAATTTTATTTAAATCTATATACCTGTGACTATGTGGGTTATGTGGAAAATATTTCTATTACCTCTCTCTCTCTCTTTTTTAATATATTTCTTCATGATTAGATTTTGTAATCATATCTCTTGCAATTTTGTTTTTTTGCAATGTACCAGTTCTTAGATATGCTGATTAATTCATCTGTTTTCTCATCTCTAATTTTTTCCCAAAACCTTTTTATTGGGAGCTAATACAGATATCATACCATCCCATAGTTCAATCATATCAAGCAGTATTGTACAATTGCTACCACAATCAGTTTCAAAACATTCTCTTTCTTCGTGAACTTCTTGATATCATCTCGCCTTTACCCCTAACCCTCTCCTCCTGTACACCCCAGGTACCCTGTAGTAGTTACATAAACTGTTGTCAATTTGAGACTTAAGAGTGAATGGGGTGTTTAGCCTGTCAATCAGGTCGCAGCTGGATGACCTCATTTGGACCCGCTAAGGAGATAACTGGTTTGCTGGAGGCTGGACACACGCTCACTCCCTGTGAGACATGCTTGCTGACAAGACACATGGAGCTATGCTAGAGCCCTGGGGTTGAAGGAGCCACATGGAGACCCCTGCCAGTGCTGAGATGCCTCTACCACAAGACTTTCCACCTACTGGCCTGTGATCCACAAGACTTTCCACCTACTGGCCTGTGATCTTCCTGTATTTGACATCGTTGCATGTGTTTCGTGAGTCTGAAGAGGACTTTATAGATGGGTATTGGGCATATGGGTCAATATCGGTCAACTGACAAGGTTTTAACTGTTCAAGTCAGGTCCATCACTCTGATCTCCCACAGTCATCTCTAATGTTTAATGTTATTTGTTTATTAGCTCTACTTTGCTTTCCTCACATTTTGTGTGCCCGTGTGTTTACGAGTCTGTGAATGTCCTGTTTTTATTGCATCACAAAAAGTTTAGGACACTAGATGGTTTTGATCATGTTCTAAATAGAAGTGGCTGGGTTTTTCCCCCTCTTTTTAATGTAAACTTTCTAATTTTATTGCATTACAATCACAGAAAGAGGTATCAACAATGTTTGCTTTTGGCAATTTAAGCAAGGTTTCTTTTATCTTTTTATAAAATCTCTCTCTATATAGATAGATAGATAGATAGATAGATAGATAGATAGATAGATAGATAGATATAGATATAACAATCTGTCAATATATGCATATCTATGTGTGTTACTGTCTTTTTATAAATAAATTTAATTTTGTTATTTTCTTTCCCCTCCCCTACCTCACCCTCTCTATAACCTTCAAAGTCTGCTTCCTTTGGTGAGAAAACCTTTTATGTCTTTTTATTTTGATAATCATGGCTTCATACACTATTTGTCTTTATGATTCTGGCTAAATTTTCACAGCATGGCATCTTCAAGTTTGTATGTGCCGTGAGATTCTGGACGGTTTCATCAGTGTTCTTTACCCATGCACAACACGCCATTGTATGTGCGTGCCAATTCCTTTCATAGCTTTGAATATGATCCATTTCTACAAATGCTTCTTGTACACTAGAAATAACTTCATATTCTTTATTGAAGAAAGTTCAAGATAGCAATTCCATGTTAGCAACAAGACTGTACAAAATTTCTACATATTTTTTATTTATACCTACTCCATAATGTGTGGAGGCCTAGTGCAAAATGGAAATGTGAGGTTCTGTTATACGTTGGCGTGTGTCCCCCCAGATATGTTGAAGTCCTGATCCCTAGAACCAGAAAACTTTCCCTTATTAGGAAATGGGGTCATGGAAGATGTTATCAATGAACATGAGGTCCCTTTAGAGTAGAGTGGGTTCCCCATCCAGGATGGGTGGTGTCCTTAGAAAAGAAAGACAAAGAGTCACACAGAGAAGACGGCCCTGGGAGGATGTTGGCAGAAATTAGACGGACCTACAAGCCAAGGAACCGCAAGGATCACCGGCCATCACCAGAGCTTGGGGGAAGTTGGTATAGTTTCCCTCTCGGAGCCCTCCGAAGGAATCCCAAGGCAATGCCCTGATTTCAAACGCCAAGCTCCCAAGCTGTGGAGCAATAGTAGATTGATAGTACATCTTCAGCGTAGCCTTGGGAAACTGAAAGACGCCCCTTGTTAAAAATGATTAAGACTTCCAAGAGCTCAATAAGAGGACATTAGACAAAGCACAAACCCCCTTTAGTAAAGGACCAGGAGCACACAGGCTGCACACCCATGAAGAAGTCTCTAAGAACATGGAAGGAATACACAAAACAACAGGAATTGGTCACCATTCAATCATTTTACAAGGTAGCATCTGGTCAAGAATTGAGGGTGTTAAAAGAAGATAGACAAGCTGCATTGATGGCATTCGTAAAAAACAAACAAACAAAAAAGCAAGGCTCCAGGAATGAGCAGAATACCATTTGAAAGGTTTCAACAAAATCAATGCAATGCTGGAAGTGCCCACTTGTCTGATGCAAGAATTTGGACGGCAACTACCTGAGGGATCAACAGAAAGAGATTCCCATTGGTCTTCATTCCAGAGAAAGATGACCCAACATAATGCAAGATTACGGAGCAGTATATCTTTCACATCCCACACAGGCACAATCTTGCTCAAGCTAATTCAAAGACACATGCAACGGCATGTTTATACAAAGCTACCAGAAATGAAAGCCAGATTCAAAAGAGGACATGAAGCCAGGGATGTCATTGCTGATGCCTGACGGATCTTGCCTCAAAGCAGAGACCATCAGAAAGATGTTCACCTGTGTCTTGCTGAGTATGCAAAGGCGTTTGACTATGTGGATGATAAAAAAGTATGGCTTGAAAAGAATGGGGATGACAGAACGCGTAATTCTGATCATGTGGAACCTGTGCCCAGATCAAGAGGCAGATCTTCAAACAGAATAGGGGACCCTGCATAGTTTTAAATCAGCAAAGGTGTGTATCCGCGTTATATCCTTTCACTGTACTCAATCTGCTTACTCAGCAGATAGTCCAGGAAGTTAGATTGCATGGCATCAGGATTGGAGGAGATTCTACGTGATCGATGCAGATGGCATAACCTTGCTGGCTGAAAGGGAGGAGGAATTGCAGCCCTTGCTGATGAAGATAATAGCAAGGCGATGGCCATCAGTGTGGATGGCTTCAATATTAAAAAAAAGTCCAGAGGGGAAAAATGAAGTTGTCAAGGATTTCATATCCCTTGATGCCATAATCAACACCTATGGAAACAGCAGTCAAGAACTCAAACCAGGTTCTGCATCGGGGAGATGTGCTGCACACAAGTTCTTTAAATTGTTAGGAAACAAAAATGTCACTTCTAGGGCTAAGGTATACCCGATCCAAGCCATGGTATTTTCAAACACCTCATATACATAGAGAAGCTGTACCATGAGTGAGGTGTACCTAAGAAGATCGGATGCCTCTCAATGAACATTTGAGTGATATTGGCGAAGAATCTGGAATATGCCATAGATTGATAGAAGGACCAAATTTGTTTTTTGAAGAAAGACAGCCAAAATGCTCCTTGAAAGGAGGACCAGGAGACTTTGTCTCACATACTTTGGACATTGTGTAAGGCCAAATTGACTAGAGAAACAAATCCAGAGACATTCATGTATGTGTAAGCGAGAACTTTATATCAAGAAGCAATTATGCGTCAATAAAACATCTCAGTCCAGTCCAGATCAAGTCCATAAGTTCAATATTAGCCCATAAGTCCGATAATGGCCCATGATTTCCTCTTGAGACTCACGCAGCACATGCAATGATGCCGCATGGAGGAAGATCACCGGCCAGTGGGTAGAAAGTCATGTGGATCCAGTGGCAGTGGAAGCATCTCCACGTGGCTCCTCCAGCTCCTGAGTGTGTCTCCTCAGCAGGAAAGGGAAGGCAGTGGGAGAATGGGTACAGCTTCCAGTGAGCTATTCAGCTCCATCGGGACTCCCAATGAGGCTGTGACCTGATTGTTAGGCTGAACTCTCCCCTTCACTCTGAAGACCCTCAGGTTGACAGGAGACTATGTAACTACCACAGGCATGTTATCAGAAGGGACTAGTCTCTGAAGATGGACATCAAAATAGAGGGTCAACAAAAAAGAGGAAGACTCCAGAGAGAGGATTGACATAGTGGCTGCGACAATTAGGAGGGTGGTGCCAGACTAGGCAGAGTGTCCCTTCTGGGCCAGTCCCTAAGAGTTGAAGCCAGTTCAATTGCACATAATATCAACTAGAGATGTCAAAAAGGAATAATGTCTCACTGTCACAAATTGCAATACAGTGTGCAAATTTCCACGGAGTACACGAGTGCATTCTGCTGTGTGGACCTCAATCCTAGTTTACTCGTAATAACACTTGAAGATTATAGGAGTTAGATTTTCCCTCTGTCTCATCATTTTTATCAATAGGAAGTAACTCTGCTCCGTAAAAACATGTCCCTTAGTTCTGCATTCGTGGTGATGTCATTCCCTCGGTACCTTCTTCATTTAGGTGCATCTGCTACGGATCCCTATGCTTTCCTCTATTACAACTTTCTTGTTTTCAATTTATCGTCATTTCTTTTCTTAAAGTTACACACGCACAGAGTTCGAAGAGGCAGTTAGTTCCGTAAGGGATAGGATGAAGCACAGTAATCCTCCAATCTCCTACTCACCACTTTCCACTCCACAAAGCCCCACTTTCAATTCTTTCCGCATTGGCCGAAGGGGGCTCAGGAGGGATCGGTGTCTGAAGCTGCACTTCATGCATCTTTGCCTCCCTGAGAATGTCTTTCTGCTTCCTCAGACCTGAAGGACAGCCTGACCGAGAATACAGATGAGGTGTGTGTGTCTGTGTGTGTGTCTGTGTGTGTCTGTGTGTCTGTGTGTGTCTGTGTGTGTGTCTGTGTGTGTGTGTGTGTCTGTGTGTGTCTGTGTGTGTCTGTGTGTGTGTATTTATCACCCAAGACCTAAGTTGCATCCTTGAACATGTCTTTCTAGCCCCTCAAACATGAAGGGCAGCCTTAATTCTTGTTACTGAATACTTGGGAAATATTGGCAATTTCCCTCTCAAAATTCTGCATATATTTATTCCATTATCTCCAGCAATTATGGTTGTGGGAAGCTTACAACTTTGTGGCTTCTTTCGTAAGCCAACTTTTGTTTGATAGTTGTTGTTGTTTTAAGATGCACATATGCATCTCTTTCTAAAAATCTTTCAAACTTAAAACATGCCCAGCTGTTGATCTGTTTTAGCAGTGATGATGTTGTCCCCAAACCCAGGGCTCAAATGTTTCAAGAAATGGCAAGTTGTTTTGTTTAGGATAGTTTGAGGATTATTTTCCCAAAAAGTTAGATTTCATATTTAACTCAGCAGGAGGTTTCAGTCACTTGTCAGTGATGGCAAGAAACACAGAGGAGATGCAGAGGGCTGAAGACGTGTGCGAAGACAGACAGACGGAAGGAGAGACGGTGGTTCAGAGGACATCTGCTCTCAGTCAGTTACGCTGTGTTTGCTGTTTTCATAGCGTAGTGCTGATTTTCTTTTTCTTTTTTCTTTTTTAGTCGTTTTATTAGGGGCTCATACGACTCTTATCACAATCCATACATACATCAATTGCGTAGAGCACATTTGTACACTCATTGCCCTCGTCATTCTCAAAACATCCGCTCTCCACCTAAGTCCCCGGCATCAGCTCCTCATTTCCCCCCTCCTTCGAGCGAGAGGAAGGACACGCTTACCTTCAGGGGCAGCACTTCCCTGTTGATGCCATAGAACGTGGCCATCGCCAGTGTCCACGACAGCAGACCGGCCACGTTCCCGCAGACCTTCTTGGCGCTCTCAAAGCTGTAGTCATCCATGCTGAAATACGGCTGCAGCAACTCAACAGTCTCTTCGTTGATGGTGTCCTTGGGGAACTGCTGCAGGCTGAACAGGAACCCCGTCGCGCTCATCAACTGAAAAACAGCAGCACGGCTTGGAAACGCTGCAGACCAAATACACTCTTCCTTAGACTTCTCGTGCGCCTCCCAGCGGAAGGAACGATTGATTTGCCCTGCATATAAACCAAGACCTTGGCAGTAGCCGCCCTACACCTATCAATTACCATGGTCTTCTGTTGCCTGTAGAGAAAGAGTGAAGAAGGAAGCTATGTGTGTGTCCTGTCCGGACATGCCACCGGGCAGGACATCTGAATGCCCCACCTCACTTCATCAAAACTGGGCAGGGCCGAGTCCAAGAAGACACGGGCCAACAGTTCCCACTGGTTCTCAACAGACTTCTTAAACTAAGGCATTCCGCTTTAAAATGTATCTCTACTTAGATTTGGGGCCGGGTGGGGAAATGCAGCTTAAAATACACTCTTCCATTCACAACCATTTTTATCTGTCAGCTTGTCAGGGCTACGTTGGGTGTCCTGGGCTGGAGCATCCGAGGTGCTCCACAGGGACTACAAGAGAGATTCCACTTACTTTTAATGATTCGCTCCAGGATGGCTTGCAGCAAGGCTTTTCCGGATCCATAGTAACAGGGTCAATTTTCTTTTGAAACAGTAGCAGAACGCAGTCCATGATCCTCATAATTAGGTGTGGGGGTTTCGCCAGTTTCCTGACCGTGGCAATATCATTTGGCTTGATCGTCTGTATTTGGAGTTTGGAATCAATATATATATATTTTGTTGAGTAACTCTCATGGTTGCATGGAGATCAAACACTTAGAAAGAATTAAGATAGAAAACTTTAAAACGTAGCCTCCCACCCGTCTCTGGCATTGTCTCCTCAAAGGTTTGACTTCCAAGAGTTTTGTGTCATGGTTCTTTCGTTTTGAGATTCCTGTTTGTTTTTGTTCTGTTTGCCCCCCGATGTTGCTCCCAACTAACGACGTACTTTCGAATCTTGCTACCGCTACCGTTCATTTCTCACTACCCCAAGTCTCCAGAGAAGACAGAAACAGACCTGACTAAGAGTAACCTCTGCTCTCTTGTCTCTTCCAACTCATGCCCTCTCTCACGTCCAGGTGAGTGGATCTGACTCAGTGACCCCACACGGCAGTGCACAATGGCTCCCTAGTGTTTCCAAGGCTCTACATGTTCAGGGGAGCAGAAAACCTCCTCTTTCTCCCACGGAGCACCTGGTGGTTTCAAACAGCTGACCTTGTGGTTAGCAGCCTAACCGTGACCCACTACAACGCCAGGGCTCCCACGTTCAACTTCCAGCAGCCTGATCTAGGGTTCCTGGGACCGTGCCTTCTGGTGGGAGCACAGCGGCTCCTTCCTCTTCCGAGGATCGCCCGACAGGTGTGCCTCTACGTTCAGCAGCCCAACACCCAACCCGCAGTGCCGTCAGGGATCCTTACACGGACACTTGCTATGACAGAAGCATAGGGGTGATAGAGAAAAGAAAACGGCAGCATCCAGAAGAAGTATTCAAAATATTCTGGAGAAGGTTATGTGTGAGTCCATTCTTGAAGAATGACTCGTATTAGATGCTGAACATTAAGAAAGGCATTCCTGGCAGGCAGAGAGGTACGGCTGAAAATGTGCCCACGGTCCTCCCCAAAACCTGGGTAGGTGCTTCTGTAAATTGGGGCAGATGTCAAGAGATGTAGTGCAGGGTCAGTAGCAGTACTAATATTTCTTGACTAATATTCTCTGTGCTGAGTAAATTGTATTAATTTAATATTCGGTACCAATATTCTCTGTGCCAATTATATTAATTACTCTATGATGGTATTGCTCCCTTAAGGATCGGTGGGGGATTATAACTGCCATGGAGGCCCGAGAAAGCTAAACACATTTGCTCCAGGTCATAAATCCAACCAGTGGTGGGTTCACGAGAGGGATATGAAGATCTTCCCCCAAAGCAGCAGTGGACACCTGGCCCAGATCTCCCCCCTGAGAGCAGAGGGGAACCAGGGAGGATGCTCAGAGATGGGAGTGGCTTCCACCGGAGGGACGGCTGCAGGATCACAGAAGGCTCTGTGTGTCATCTGAATCCCCCGTGCTTACAGGTAAAGCATTCATCACCGGCCTTCCTTCTATGTTCTTGTGGGAGGCTGATTTATAGACTAAAAATAATAAGCTTAGGGGACACGGAGACTTGAAAATAGAATTAAAACTTAGAAAAGGAAATCAATGGAGACGCTTTCCTCCAGACTCAGAGATTATAAATCACATTAGGAATCCAATTCCGTTTTTGGAATAGGACGTTGCGGTCTATTTCATGAAAGGAACCCTGGCACCCGCCAGAGCTTTGCTGGGAGGGAGGACCGTGCTCACATTCAGCGCTGCCTCGGCCTCTTCCAGCGCAGGTTTAGCGGCCTCCAGCTTGCTCTCAGCTTTCACCTTCTCGGTATCAATTTCGTCCACAATTTTTTGGGCTTTATCCTTGACCTCCTGGACCTCGTTTTTCACTTTGGCCGAGGCCTGAGCGCTGACCGTGACTTCCGCTAAGACCTGTCCAGTTGAGGAAACACAAGAGAGACAAGGGAAGCCTTCTCAGCAAAATGGACCTGTGCACCTGTGTGCGGCATCTTCTAGTTCGCGTGATACAAACACACGAGCAAATGCAGACATCAGTCTCCAGCTAAGGCGTCTATCTTTTGAGGCTCTTAAAGGTCATTCTGTTGAGCTGTGCCTTGCAGTCTTCTGTTCTCCAGGGGCTTCTCGAGCTTGGAGGATGTAAATATTTCAAGCTTTCAAGGGGTGGGTGGGTTGGGGGGATGGTATTGCCAATATATGCAATTTCTAGGGAATAGAAACAATTCGAGTAATAAGTGTAATGGGATACTGTCAGAAACCACAGGAAGTGCCCATAGCAATAACCATTAAAAATAGCTCATTTTGTTGAGTGCTTATGCGGTGCCAGCACTGTGCTAAATAAGAGCCTTCCCTGTGGTATTTCACCCACTCTGGTCACTGAGCAAGTGTCATGATCAGCATATCTATTCTTCACTGACATTCAGGGAGTGGAAGCAGAGAACAGTCTGGGACCAGGGGTGATAGATAAGGCACAGCACATCTCCTACCACCTTGGGAGAAATCACTGGGGAATATATATATATACACACACATATATAATATACATATATACATACTAGTGTGTATATGTGTGCATATATGCATATGTGTATATGCATGTGGATCCATATAGATGTCTCTATAGTCCCTCACTTATGATATGTTTGAGTTACACCAAACCACACTTAGGATGGTCAGTTTGTGGTGGGGATGGTGGCTGTTTTGCACATCTTGTCTTCAGTAATATGTGCTACAGACAATGTTACTGTAGGCAATTTATTGATAGCATCATATCTGTTCATCTACACGTGATGATTCCCAGCCCCAAAAGACAAATACAGATTGGATTTATGCAGATACTGCTAAAATAATGAGACTGAAAAAAGTGAGGTATTTGATTTAGGTCCAAACCAACTTATGAGCTGGTCCATCTTAAATCTGGAGCCAAGAGAAGACAACATATAGCCTATATTCAAGTGAAAATTGCACACACAGAGGAGTAAAAACAAGAGAGGAGGGTAGAGAAGAAGAAGAGAGAGCTTCAGACAAAGAGAAGATGCCATAGGTATGACTTGGTAAAAGCTAAACAAAACTATTTACTGGTCTTTGAATAGACTCTCAACCACACATGGTCTGCAAGTTGATACCCTGGTTGTTGTTTTTTTTCAAACAGCATCCTAAAATAGTGATCTTTATAAAGCATATGGAAAAAAATAGTCATAAAACAACTACACACTCACTTCATCAGCCTTTACAGAAGCCACGGCCAATTCCTTCTCCTTCACCGCAAGCTCCTGAGAGAGTTTAGCAACAGATTCACTTGCCTCCATCAACTTATCAAGACCTTAGAAAAGAAGATCGCCGGGCAGTTTACAAATCTGCGCCTTCTCAGTGCTATAACAAACACAACATGTACAAAAAACCTTTTGCATTATGCCCTCCGAGCAATCGTGTGACTGTCCCCACAGAGTCCCGACAGAGGGTGCAGTGAGCATCGCTGACTGAAGAAGAGCGCCTCCTTGCGTTGAAAGGAAGTCACAGCGGTTTACTGGCTAGGGTTGTCTTGGTCAGGAAACCTCCCAGGCAAGTGTATCGTCTCCTAGGCTTTGCAGACAGTTTTAAGCTACCAATTTTTCCCCTTTGAATTATATTGCAGCTGGGGTGGCCATGAGGTAGATAATATATAAAAACATGTGGCTATATTGGATGGTGTAAGATGCAGCAAAAAATAAAAATAAAAGTAAGGGTCCTTGGGGGGAGGGGAGGAGAGGGAGGGGGAGCTGATATCAAGGAGCTCAAGAAGAAAAAGAATGTGTTGAAACTGAATGTGGTAGCAATTGTACAATACTGCTTGATGTGACTGAACTATGGAATGTTATGATATCTGTAAGAGCTCCCAATAAGATGAGTTTTTAAAAATTAGAATAACTTTTAAAACTTATGTAACCCACTCTGATTTTCAGTATCAGAGAGCAAAATAATTGGTTAACTGAATTTCTCACATTCCAACTAGGTTCTAGACAGTGGGTGGTTATTGGTAAATGAATGTTCAGCTCTCTGAGGGGGAAAAAAATCTGAGTCTCTGGTGAAAGAAACACTGACTTGTTGTTTGCCTGTTTCCATGGTGTTAACACTCCGACACTCAAGCTACAAGGGATTCTCAACAGCACAGTCCTGTAGAACATAGTGCCACCGTTCAGACACAATAGGTCTGCATAAAGTACCTGAAGAACATTAATAATCATAAGATGGAGTAAAAAATAGATAGGAAATTGTGTGTTTTGAATATTTATCACCTGTATTATAAAGGCACTATTTAATTAGAACTTTATATAATATTATTTTATTAAGGGCTGTGTTCCCATTCAAAACATTCCTAAACAATTAACAAGCCCACGTCAGCCACCAGTCTTTCAGATCCCACCAGCATCAGCCATGGAGGGCAGCTTTCAGGGGGCACTTGTGGTCTTTGCTTGGACTCTTTGCTTCCAAACTACAGCAGACTCGGACGGAGTGAGCCAGTCCACACTTCACTGATCACC